TGAATAGGAAGGGTGTAGAGGGATTTGGGCCAAATGCTTGCAAATGAAACTAGGTCAGATAGGGATGTCTGGTCAGTGAGGATGAGTTAGACTGAAGGGTTTGTTTCCGTGCTGTATAACTCTGACTCTGACTTAACGTTTAAGGAATGTTCTTTGTTTTTTTCCCCTACCAAAGTGAATTATTCACACTTATATTCCAACTGCCATTTTCTTTCCCATTCACTTAGCCTGCCCAAGTCTGCTTGAAGCCTCCTTACACTTTGCTCACATCTCACATTCCGACCTAGTTTTGTCATCCACAAATTTTGGTTCAAATTATTTATATAAATTATATGTACAAATGTGGCCCTAACACTGATCTTTGTGAGACTCCACTAGAAATAGCCTGCCAACCTGAGAACGGCTTGTTTATTCCTACTATCTCCTTTCTGCTGTGGGGGACCTTATTAAAACACTTCTGAAAATTCAAATACAACACATCCACTGGTTCTCCTTTATCTATGCTACAAGTAACATCCCAAAATAAAGTTCAAAATGTTTGTCAAACATGATTTCCCTTTCATAAATCCACATTGATTCTGCCTAATTTTACCATTAGTGTCCAGTTATCATGTCCTTTGGAATAGATTCTAATATTTTCCTGACTAGTCATTTCAAACTAACAGGTCTGTAGTTTCCATTCTCTTATCCTTTATTCATTCATGGGATGACGGCATCGCTGACCAGGCAGCATTTATTGCCCATCGGGCAGTTAAGAGTCAACCACACTGCTGTGGGTCTGGAGTCACATATAGGCCAGACCAGGTAAGGACAGCAGTTTCCTTCCTTAAAGGACATTAGTGAACCAGATGGGCTTTTCCTGACAATCGGCAATAGTTTCGTGGTCATCATTAGACTCTTAATTCCAGATTTTTTTTTATTGAATTCAAATTCCATCATCTGCCGTGGTGGGATTTGAACCCGGGTCTCCGGAATGTTATCCAGGTCTCTGGATTAAAGTCCAGCGATAATACCACTTGACCATCGCCTTCCCCTTAT